CTGCCAATTACTGCTCACACCAAAAGTGGTAGATGTACCTACTTGCTGCTCAGCAGTCTGCAGTCATTGCTGTAACATTTTAACATTAGCAGAGAGGCTGCTGTTGAATACAGGAAGCTGTGCTGAGGATCTTGGTGTGGATGTCCATGGTAGTGGCCCGACACCTGACTCCCTGTGCACCAGCCATGTAGAGTTTAGAGAAGCCACTCTTCCACTGGCAGTGTAGCTGACCTACATTGATTGCCGATTTGAATGACTTTACACACAGTAACCATTTCCTTACCTTGTGTGCCAACTGTCTTTCAACTGAATTTGAATAGCTCTACTTCATTTTCCTTTAGGATATATTCTTTTCTTTACCAGGGGCTTTCTTTCTTAAAAAAAAAAAAAAAATGTCCTCAGAAGACTAGCCCTGTTGGATCTATAAAGATGACAAGATCCTAGGGTAATGTGGCTGAAATTTAAACTAGGACCCATGTTGCATTAACTCATTCATGCTTTTTTAATACAAAATCTATATTTTAATGTATGGATATTAGTAGAATACATATTTATATAACTGTAGTTAAGGAAATGACTGGATATTCACATAGAATATTTATTAGGCATCTCTTCTGTGTACTTTGGTAAGCATTGGGAGTATATCAAAGCACAAATTTGGACAAATAGGCTTCGGGTAGCATACACATTTTTGCTATTAGTTTGGGCTATTCTTAAAACACTCATGAAGATTTGCTACAGCTTCTGATTATGCAGACATTCTCTTTTCTTCCTTACATCAAGTCTACTATAATGGCACCTGGGTGGCTCAGTCATGATCTCAGTGTCCTGGCATCAAGCTCTGTGTACGGCGCCTTGCTCAGAGGGGAGTTTGCTTCTCCCTCTGCCTCTCCCTGTGCTCATGCTGGTGCTCTTTCTGAAATAAATGAGATCTTAAAATAAAAAAAGAATCTACTATAACCTACATATTTGGAACAAAGTAGGTTCCCGGTATGTTAGATAAAAAATGAGCTAGATTGGATTCCAGTGGCAGCACCGTGGATGACTCCATGCATGGCAAAATAGAGATTTTGCCACACATGGCAAAATAGAGATTTTGCCACACATGGCAAAATAGAGCTGGAGGCAGCACCGTGGATGACTCCACACATGGCAAAATAGAGCTGGAGGCCAGATACACCAGCCTTGCTGTCTTCCCCCATCTGACTGTGGTGATCATTGGCATGTTCTTCACTATTTCTGTTTATGAGGTTACCTCCACCAACTGCACTTGGGATAGCTACAGAGTGCCTCATCTCCTTGGTGGCCTTGCTCTTCATTGACTTTGGAATCTTCTTCCTATTGCTCTAGATTGGCGTCTATGTATGAACTCCCAAGGGTTTCAGCTAGGTGGCTTCACTGAATACCTGCTTTGTAAACTATTTTTTTTTTTTTTTACTATTGTTGCAAATGTCCTACCTGCTGCTCACAATAAAGGCAGATGTGTGACCCCCCCCCACCAAAAAAAGAGCCAGATTGTTAAAACAGCGTGTAATTATTTCCCATAGGCAGGACACACACCTACTCCTTTCAATTCTCTTTTATCTTATGTCCAGCTACCTTTGATTGGTCTTTGACTCCTTAAATCAACAGAGCCAAGTTGTGGGTTTCCTCTAGGATGGTCACAAAAGTAAAACTTTACTTATTTTCCTCACCATCCCATTGAAACAGGGCTTTCTTAAACATCTGTATTTATAGTAAATGGAAAAAAGAAATCAAGTTTTTTTCTTAAAATTATACTTACCTACTTAAAAATTACATTTGTCTTTAAAATGACACTATTTAATTCCCAATACACAGCATTTCAACTGCATCTTACTCTGTGATATATAAGGGATTATATAAGGGATATATATATCCTGTGTGAGATAAGGGATTTTTTTTCTAGGAAAAACATATTTTGAATTTTAAATAACTATAGGTTGTTTAATGTCACTAATTGATCTACTACAGATGCATTTTTAGAATATTTTATTCAAACTAAATGCTACAAAGTTATACAAAAGACAGCTATCAGGTTTTTCTTTTTTTTTTTTTTTAGCAAAATTGTCCTATTTTTCAACATCCCAAGTTATTAAAAATCAAACTGATGAATTTAAAGTAATGAATTTAAAGTACATTAATTTAAATTAATTTAAAGTAATAATGAAGACAATGTGTATAGGATATTGTTGTTTAAGGGAAGAATACTGTCACTGGCTATCAAATATGGATAAATATTGTATGAAATATAATTGCTAATCAAAAGTAAAACGAAGTGTTTGACTTTATTTCAAAATTCATATTAAAAATATGCATGATGTAAATCATATAAAAGTAAGTAAAAGCATGTATTTAAATGGAGAAATGCAGAGTATGAAGATAAAAAACTACTTACAATATATTGATGTTTGTACAAAATTATTTAATATTCATTTATTAGATCTAAAAACAAGCTACTTTGGAAGAATATTTCTTTGATAACATTTAGATATATAAAAAATGACTCTTTGGTTTATGATTTTATCCTTTTCATTTTAAATATGCTAGAACCAAACTAAATATTAAAATAAACTTTTTAAGAAACAGTATCAGACATGGTTAATGTGAAATAAATGATTTACTTATTTCCCTTAGCCATAGTCACATTGAGTCATATTTGTCTTTCATGACAAATCTTTGGAATAATAGTTGAATAACTAGATAATCTTGAGTAAAGTTAAAGTTGAATGTAGCCAGAGTTCAACTTCTTCCTTGCTTATCTGGATCACACTAGATGTCATCTTGATTAAACGAGATACTTGCTTCCATAAAAGTAGACTGCCAACATATACCCATTACTCAATATGCCACATTAGAATTATGGCTAATCCCAATCATTCTAATAGAGAGATACCAGCATGTTCAGAATATAGGCACTTAAAACTATTGTAAAGGTATCTGCCAAGACCTATTTGAATTCATACTTACTTTCTTGAGTTTCTGCTTACAAACTAATATATTACGTAGAGAGTAAAAACTGCCTTACCAACCTTTAATATGAAAGTACACCTAAGTGTCATTATCTTTCCACCAATATTAATATGGGGAGAAAACAAAAGTATTTTGCTTGAAATGATTACATTTGTGAAGTCTGTAAGTGTCTGTTTAAAACTTAAACTCTGAGTACATTATTTGAAGTGTTATGTGCTTGCTCAGCCTTCACCCTGAGGAATTTCTCAGCCCCAGAAACTTGGGAAAGTTACTACACAAAGATTCTGATATACAGATGTTTCTGAAGTGAAAAATAAATAAATAAAAGGAAAATAAAGACAAAAGTCAGAAGAGAATAAATCTGTACAAAAGCTGAAGCTACCTGTCACAGCATCCTGAAACAAAGCATCCTGCACTTCTCAATGCCACTAGGGAGAGGAGCAATTCAGCAACTATTTAAAAGCTGTCTGCTTCCAGAAATGGTAGCAGTTGCTGTAAAAAGGCAACAGGCTTTTTGCTTGTAATTTAAAAATGATTAAAACTAGTCTATGTAATTTCAGCTTCAAAGTTATCTTGTTCTACATCTTAGGACTTCCACTTTCAGAGTGGCCTAATGAAAATTAGCCCATTATCCCCTTACACCTGAAAAATGTCCCATCTAACAGACAAAGAATGGTTAATATTAAAGTCAATCTGGTTTGGGTAACTGTGGGTTCTGTCTTTGGCAAGTGGGTAAAGGACCGTGATCCAGAATTTAAAAAGTGAATTGTTCTAAGAGCAAAAGGAAAATTCTCTTTCATTCACTGGACTCCAATTCTAATGCTTTTTAAAAGTTGATACTAATATATGAAGATGATACAATTTCTAGAATTCTAAAAAATAATCCACTAACAATCAGATTGTTTCAATGCAACTTAATTCCTTACTGGATGATAGGCAAATGCACATTCCCATTGTTATTATTTTTTTTTAATGCAAAACTTTGGTAGATGTGACTACTTTTCCTCTGAAAGATAAGTTTTCTCTCTCAAAGTTTTATTTGTATGCTATTCACTTATTAGAAAGTCTGCAAAACTTTCAATCTGTTACCTGTAGCTTTCCAAAACAGTAAAATCCCATGTTGTAGTAGTTGGGAATTCCTATGTTATAATGGGAGTTTTAAAACCTTCTTTTATGAATGATGTTAAACTGAGTTTATATTCTGGATTTGTTTATAAAGTGTGATAAAGTGGCTATGTTACTGCAAGATTTCTGCAATTTGTAAAGATAGAGCAAAAGAGAGAGAACATTCAGAAAAGTTCCCTCAATCATAGTGGAGTAGGAGCCAGGAAAGTATGGTGTTGTTTAGTAATAAAAAGAGGACTTTGCATTTAAAACCAATTTTGTGTTCAAACCTAGTTCTACCAATGAAGAACCGTGTGACTCTTGGAAAGTTATGTAACTTCTCAAAGGATTAGTTTTCTCATTTGCAAAAAGGAGCTACTGACTTCACAGGGCTATTGTGAATATTTAACAAGGTAATATATTTAACACTGAGCTTCATTCCCTGCCTAGCTTTCTAACCTAATGGGCTGCTTTCCCTAGCATAGATACAAGTTAAACCTGTAGTTCCTTTCCCTTTTTCATTGTCACAGGTCAACCAGCACAGCAGATATTAACTGTGGGAACTATAGGTTCTAGCTCAAGACCTGGTCTATACATGTGCTCAACTAAATGTTAGGTTTTCTTTTCCCTACTATTATATTTTCTCTTGTCATGTTCTTATCATGGTGTTTAACCACTCAGAAAAGTATCTTAATGATTGATATTTTAATGCTCTTGTTTTATTTAATGACATGGATATTGTTTGACTGAATCTTGAATTTTTAAAACAACATACTGCCCCATATTATAACTTAGAAGGTGTTAAATAATACATTTAAAGCGTTATAGAAACCCTTCACACCTCTCAAATGACACATTATTTCTTGAATTCCGTCCTTTGTGGATGAAGTAAAACCAAGGTAAAGTCTCTTTAATGCATGTGGGGCTTTAATTACTCTAAGAAGGGCAAAAGGGCATCTTATGATCTAAATATCATCATCAAGTTAAGATATGGAGAGATTTAAAACTTTCAACTGTCTATGGTCATGAAAGAATTAGGCTAGATACCACTTCTCATGTTCATCACAGTACTTTCATGCAAACACTATGCACTCATAGTATATTTGGCCCAGTGTGAAAAAGAGCAAGGACTTTTGCAAGCAAAACACCTAAGCATTGTCATACTGATCTAAGATAAAAAAATTACGTAGAAGTTTACATTTCTAAAAGCTTTTTTTTTTTTAATCTTAGTTTCCTAAATTATCTGCTGCTTGTTCTAATTTCAGGGAAGGAATGACTATGAAAGTTCAGCAGCTCACTGATGAGTGAAGTATGGGCTCCCTTGGTCCAGAATAGAAAGAAGGACAACATGTATGGTTTTCACAAAATTAGGAAAAGAAATTTCTACCATGTACTACATGAGGCTGATCCTTTGCAAACACCTCAGTCAAAATGAAAGATATGCTGAGCTACATGGTTTAAACTCCACTGTTGCTGCCCGACCAGTTGTATATGCTTCATAGGAAAATTAATGAAATATTAATAAAACATAACTTATTCTATAGAGTTTAAAGGGAATTAAAACCCAAAGAGGCTTTGTCCTATTTTCTCATAATTTGGAGATATGAAAACCCACAAAGATATGTTATAGAGGGCCACTGATAGTACTATGATCCTTTTTTAAAAGGAAAGACTTCAGAATAAATGCTTAAAATCCATACACTGTCTCTCCACTAAAGTTTCTATTTGAGACTTAAGAATATCTTGAGTCTGAAGAAAATACTACATTTTTTGCCATTACCATTTAAAAATCATGTATATAGAGACATTCCATTTGCATTGTAATTAAGCACAACTAACTTTATCACACAGAACAACTTCACTGTATATCAGTACAGTGGTAAACATGTCATACCACAAACTCTCTTCCCTACAAAAATCTACTGGCATGTTACAAAAACTGTCCACAATATTCAATATTCTTTGGAGAAATATTTATAGCTATAGTCATTTGTTTTTAACAACTATTTGAAATCATACTATTTCATTTATTTTTGTGTATAAAGTTTCCAAACTTCTGCATAAATCCTCGGAACTTGTTTTCATTTGGCTGGTATGAGTGATAAACACCAGTGTTGTAATTAAGCATCGGGCTGGACCTGCCATAACTATTGCCCACAGTTGTGGATTTTATTTCTGGGCGGTGCACACCAGTATTTGGTACGTTGCTTGCTGGCTGAATAGAACTTTCGATCTTATAGAATGGCTCGAAGCGACTGTAAATGCGCCTGTCAGTTGAATGAGATCTTAGAAGCTCATTGGGTTTAGGCCTTGGAGAAGAAGCTGGTTTTCTTTCAGGAGCAAGAACTGTATTAATCTCCTTTGAATCTCGGTATTGGATCTGTTCAGTGTTAAATCTAGGGGCAGAGGCATCTCCTGCTCTTTCCAAGAACTTGTTTTCAACCGGACCTGGAGAAGGCATTCTTTTACTACTTTCATCGGGTGGAGAATTCATCCCCTGAGGTGAGCTAACGGTTACATCTTCCTTACTCTTGTGAATACTGCCTTGAGAATTTGATGAGGAAGAACGCTTTCTTCTAGGAGATGAATCCATTTTTGGTTCTGATTTTTTTGGTTTTTGATTATCTTCAGCCTCAGAAACTAAAGTGTCAGAACTACTACACATTCTGTAAAAGGCAGGTGCTTTATTTTTGGATAGATTTTCTTTCTTCTCTGGGGTAAGGCTAAGTAATGACCTTAACTTCTGAGATCCCTTTTTCAAGAAACTTGGAGAACCTTTAACTTCCTTCTTTGAAGTGAGTTCCTTGCTAGGTTCATCTTTATTCATATCAAGCAAAGCAGCAATGGAAATTGACTTGGCAGTAGGGCCACTTGGAGGTTCTCTCTTGATAACCTCCCTGTCCTCTTCTATGCTCTGGGTCACATTGTGCATGCTTTTAGAACTTTTCAACAAATCCTCTTTGGGTTTTTCTGGTTGTCTAACTCGATTCCTGGTAAGTGTACTATAGACATAATGCTTACTATGTCCATGATCTAAATTGGCTTTTGAGTGGTCGAAGAATGGGAAACTTCGCCTCTTGAGCAGATTCTCATTTTGTTGATTCTTCAGATTTTCTGTCTGCTTATTTACACACAAGGATGTATATAAATAGTTGTTTGAGTCTGTATGGCCATTTGTAGTTTGATTTAAGACTGCTGAGTGGTTTTCGGGAACCTGCAACGTGTGCATTTTTGGTGCCTCTGACTGCAATGGGAGCTTAGGGGCTGATTCTGGCACAGGTTTGTCTGTCGTATGCTGTACACTCATAGGGGTGTCTGGGACCTCTTTAGGTGTGTCACTTCCCTGGGAACCAATGACTGTTGAATTTGAGGAGCCAGTTGTACAACTGTTAACTTCTTCCTGTTCAGGTAATGTTGGTTTAAACACAAAAGAGGAACGAAGCCGAGAATGAGTGTAATGGGCATTGGCTTTCAAATTTTCAGAACTATCATAGCCCTCAAACCGGTCACCTAGAGCTGATCCATTTGAATCAGGTGCAGCTTCTGAATGATCATTTAAGTAGGATTCAATTCTCCAGTTACGCAAGAATGACTTTGTGGTATGTTCAAGGGTTGGCATTCTTTGCTGCAAAAAGCGAATATGATTATCCGTCCCATTGAAAGATCTCCGCACATTTGAGTTCCTTTCTGCAAGATTTGTTGTTTTTCTCTGGGCAAGCCGATCAGCAAAACTCTGGGCAGGTGTGTTACGGTGGCTTGCATAGCCTCCTCGTGATGAGGAGGCCACACTAAGACTATCTGAAGGCTTTTTCCAATTACCTGGAGGATTAATGTTTCGATTCAGAACCCTGTTAAGCAGCAGGTATGGTGCTGTTTCTGGCTGTTCCCCAGCATAACTATGCCTCTTCCAATTTTCATTTATCTGACTGGATTGATACTGACGGACTGTATTTGGACCATTAAAGTTTGGAATAAAATGAGGCTTGTATCCATGATTTCTTATGCTATATTTGTCATGTTCATTTAGAGTATATATTCCTCTGTTTTTGAAATAACTAGATTCTAGCTTATGAATTTTGTCTTGTCTGCCAAAAAGGTTTCTTTGGCTTGAAACGGAAGCTAATGAAGAAAGTGAACGCTGGTAGGTGCCATTCTCCCAGAGTGTTTTGCCATGTTTCACCCTTGCTGATTCTTCCTGTGCAAATGAACTGGGGACACAGGATCTGGCATAGAGAGTTCTAAATTCTTCATCAAAGGACTCAACAAGTTGTCCTGTGATTATCTGAACCATGCTGAGGTGAGCTTTTTCAAATGACCACATGTAGCTGAAAAAGAATCAAAATTGGAAAATTTCAATTTTTCTATCAGAAGATTAATGACAATATATACCTCCACTAAGAAAAATGTGTCATTTATCATCAACAGGAAGAGTATTTTTGTTCATTTTTCCTGGCTACCATTATTTAGAACATCTTCAATCATTAAATTCTTGTAGTACCTTTATTTCCCTACTCCCATTTTCATATCCTAAATAACAAAGCAACTCAAGTCCTGGCTTTGAACGCACCCATAATTTCTTCCTTTTTTTAATTTTTATTTATTTATGATAGTCACACACACACACACACAGAGAGAGAGAGAGAGAGAGAGAGAGGCAGAGACATAGGCAGAGGGAGAAGCAGGCTCCATGCACCAGGAGCCCGACGTAGGATTCGATCCCGGGTCTCCAGGATCGTGCCCTGGGCCAAAGGCAGGCGCTAAATCGCTGCGCCACCCAGGGATCCCCCATAATTTCTGACATTACTTTCTAGAAGTCCAAAGAAAAGCCTGCTGTGCATTCTGTATCTCTGCCTACTAAGATTTTATGGTATAGAAAACATTGTATTTCATATCTAATATCCTGGCAGAAGGTATCAGTGGAAAAGTTGAGAGACTTGGCTTTTATTGAGTTCTCTACCCACACAAGCTTGGGCCTCAGTTTCCAAAATACTAGCACAATCCTATCATTCCTTATAGTTCTAGCATGTTAAAATGCAAGATAGGTCGTTGCTAATACATTCATCTTATCTCTGTGGCTTACTCAGGAAGTGCACTTTGGGATGCCAGGGCTTGTGGAGAGAGAGAGGATGTGGGCAGTAGCCCCGGTCCATAAAGGGCACTTTACTGCTTACTTTGCTGCACGCAGTGGACAGGGAACTTGTAAATTTAGCCTCAAAAGCCGTGCCAGTCAGAATGCCAAATAAAATATTTTAATATAAAATATAATCTCTAGGAAATTAAAGTTTGTAACTACTTTATAGTTGTGAAACTATACAGTTTAAGTTGTGAAACTTCTACAGTTTAGAGGGGACAGATGAAATTTCATATACAATTTCAAACCTGATTTGTAAAAATTTAGATAATCTAACCTACAGAGTCACTGAACCAAAAAAGGAATTGCTAATATGCTCTGTACCAAATACTATACATGATATAATAGGAGTTAATAAAGGAGAAAGGAGACAGAGACATTCTTTACCATGAAGGAACTTACTCGTTATAGAGGAGACACAGTAACAAAAGCAGATGAAATACTAAAAGAATGTACAGAGTATGAATTTAAAATACACAAAATATCATAAATAATAGCGTAAAACTTAAGAACCTTATTATTCTGATATACTGAGCTTTATACAGTGTACTTATTGAATACATGGTAGAAGAAGAATAATTCACTAAGTGCTCTTTTTGTACAGATGGGTGGGCCACCAGGCTGACTTAAAATAAATGATACAAAGTGAATCACTAAAGGAATTTTCAACCCCATTGAAAATATCAATACAAAATTCATAAGAAACAGCAAATAAAGGAATGAATAGTTAGTTATGACATATGAGAAAATTCCTGGAGACAAGTAGAAGTTAGCTGTATTTTGACAGAGACCAGACAACCCAGAAGTTCAAACACAAAAACGTGTGGAACAGTTTGTGGGGGGAGAAGAAACATATGGGAATAAAAAGGAAATAAAAATGGCCATGTTTTGGTTGAACAAAGAAAACATATTTAGCTGATGAAGTTATATAGGAGACTAATGAACGAGTGGGGAAAGTCTTGAAAGCAAAGCAGAGTTTGCATAGGATTCCCCCCCCATGCCCGCCAAATTCAGATAAATTATCATAAAAATATGTTTTGGGGTGATTTTTTTCCAGTAGCTATTTGTAATATAGACTTGAAGGATGAGCAACCAAATTTACTGTGATGAGTAAAATAATTGGAATAAGGTGGTAAGAGCCCAAACCAGTGTATAAATTGTAATAAAGGATAAAAATGTTGAGCTGGTAACAAGAAGGGAGAACCAGAATATTGGCATGTCATAAAGGACATGTATAGATTCTGAAATATAAACAGCTTTCAGGTGTTGAGCTCAGGAAACTGAGAAGATAATGGTACTGAAATATATGTTGCAACTGGAGAAATTACCTTGTTTTGGTAAATCAGAAAAGAATATTGTGATATCACTTTAGGTAACAGCAAGACATCCAACTGTATATATTCAATGTAGAGATTATTCTCCGGAAACACTGAACAGCCCTAAATAAAAGAGCTATTTTACTGACATCCAGGCAACTTTCAATAAAACTGTCAAGACTCTAGCCAATCACTCTCCTGTAAACTCAGCTGTTGATAAATATTTCCCATGCAATTTCCAATAAGCATTTTTTAACAAATTCACAGCATAAGATCAGCAGACATCTGAAGAAAGTTAGAAGATGGCTTATAAAAGCTTAAAAGCTTAGATGCAAAACAGAGACCAAAACAAACAGGAAACAGGCACCTGGAGGAAACAGACATTGCACAGAGAAGAATACATATAAAAACAGAGACACAAAAATACTATAATTAATATCTTCAAAGAAAAAGAGAAAATGATGCATCTATAAAACACAAAAAGGATGCATTGAAAATGGTACAAGTAGAAGACATTCAAAATATTTGATAGCAAAATTTTAAAAAGAAGTTGTAATAGATGTGTTAGAATAAACAACTGAGGAAAATCCCCCAGGCAGTACAATGCCACTCAGCCCCAAACAGAAAATCAGAAGAAAAAAAAATACAATGGGAGCAGAAACCTAGTTAGTAAGAACCTGAGAGAGAGAGAGAGAGAGAGAGAGAGAGAGAGAGAATAGAGACAACTGAAGAGAGGAAATGATCCAAGAATAAATAAGAAATGTCCCAGAATTGAAATATAGATTTGGATTGCCTAGAACAATACATTTTTAAAAAGCCTACACCTAGAAACATAATAAATTTTAGAATAGCAGGGAATGGAAGAGAAACCTTAGAAGTTTCCAGAAAGAGAAAAAAAGTTACATAAGAATGTGAATAACAATTGTTTGAGACTTCTCAAACAACAGTAATTTTGATTGCCAGGCAGTGTCTTTCAAAGTTGGAGGAAAGATGATTCGATTTAGAGTTCCATCCCCAGTTAAGCCATTAATCACCTAAAATTATACATTTTATATTTATATTTATAAATTATATTTTTAAAACATTTTTATAAAAATATAAATTTTAAAATTCCATACTGATGGAAATTGTTCTTGAGCAAACATAAGAGAAAAACTAGGACTTGAAAAAAAAAAGATGGAAAAATGGGATTAAATGAGATTTAAGAAATTGTGGCTCAAACTACTCAGGGGTATGGGAAATTGCAGGACCCCAGCAGTGCTTCAAGTTAAAGATCTGCTAGTCTGGATGGGACATGACAGATTACTGGTAGTAAATAAGCATTTGGAAAAGTTGTTAATGTGCTAAGAAATCTGTAGAATCAACTGGAAAAAAAAATAGCAATAGATAAATAAGAAACAAAGACAATGAAAAAAACCAAAACCAAATGGTCATTATTAACTTCATTATATAAAAAGGAAGCATATTATAAATGACTCCATGGCTCATCAATGATCAATTCTGACATAATTTTAATAATGTAAACTGAGACTTCTCCCTGAACAAATAACTGTGATAAAACTGTACTGGGTGAATGGCAACTAGGAGGGCAAGTAGATATGGGTGAATAGGAAATGTAACCCTTCAATTATCATACTATAGAGTCAAGAGATAAAATCTAAAAGTGATAAAGTGAGCATTCATAGTATAATCACATTATGTAAGAGAATGTAGTAACTATCAGAAGAACTAGCTGAGAGAATTAAATAACTGTATCTGGAGATGAGGATCCAGGAATGGATACAGGTGGAGAACAAAGATTGATCAAGGCTTGAGCTGAGATCAAGAGTCAGACAGTCTTCAAGTCTGATTAGAGATGGTACCCGGAAGCCAACAACTTCAGTGAAACTTATGTTTAAGGTAGCTTTTATAGAAACCATAAGATTAAAAAAAAAAAAAAGCTTATAAAGCTCTCTCTCAGTCAAATTTGTGGACCATATTTACTAAATATGTTCCAGATTTTCACATGACAATATCAAATGAGGGTATCCAATTTATTTTTATTTATTTAATTTTTTGGGTATCCAATTTATAATTTGATTTGTACATATTGATTAAAAATGTCTATGTGTTTTGTCTTATCAATGTTAGTATCATGATAAGACAAAACACTTGTGTTTTTCTGATAAAACTGTCATCATGATGAGTGAACTGCCACACAATGTAGGAGTATGGTGAGTGCAGACAACAGGCCTCTTTGGAAATGCTTGGAGTTTAAAATATGAAGACATTTTATGGCAAAGAATTTTGAATTAAAGAAGGTGGCATTTTGATTTGGGGTATGAGGAAGATTATGGCAATATTGGAAAAGGAAACAATTTTACCCTAAAATAAGTCAACTTTTAATCAGTTTCTACAAAAACGGGTTCATGACTGTTACATGAGATCCTGTTACAATACTATTAATACGAAAAGTTCATAATAATTAGGAAAAAAAGATGATCATTTTTTTAAAGAAGTATATTTACAATTAACATGTAATAATAAGGCAAGCAGAATTGGTACATAAGAATTTTGGTGAATTTTTATCATCTGCGGTCCTAGGCATTCTATATTCACTTTTATAAACAGTAACTTAAATTCTGCCTCTGTCTTATGATATACATAGACAAAGAGGTTTTGTTGCTGCTGTTTGTTTTTCCCAACAGCCCTTTAAAGTAGTTCAGTCATAGTCATCTCAACATACAGAACCTATTAATGCCTAGTGGTAGCAAAACAAAGTTAAGGCGCATTTATTGTTCAAGGTAATCTTAAAAGTCAAGTTAAATAATAAAAATAAAGCATCCATTATGATGAGATTAACTAATAAATACCATTCTATATGTTAACTCCTAATTTTAATTAAAATTTCAGTTAAAAACCCTATAAAACCAAGTGTGTCTGAAGAAATACATACATGTATAATGAGTCTTTAAAAGCACTCATTAATTTCAAGCACTGGTTGTAATTTCTGTTCTTAACAAGTTTTCCTTTAGAACTCCAAATGGCACTTTCATAAAAGGTCCCTGAGCTTAAAGGGAAAGTTAGCAGGTAGTAACAACTAAAACATTCCTAAAATAATAGGTGACTTTAGGAGCTATGATGCATTTACTCCTTTAATTCTTACACCAATGACATGAGATAGGCTCTAGGATTATCATTACTTTACAGAGGAGTAAACATAAGTGCAACCAAGATGAGTAACTTGCCTACGGCCAATCACTTCAACATGTTATCTCCTTCTTGTGGACTTTTTAAATTCTTAAGAGAAAGGGTAAAAGTTTTCCCTCGTCCTATTTATACCCACAGGTCTCCTGGCTCCTTCCACAGTCTTTAGTAATGAGTCTGTGCTGCCCTGGTGACCTAGTAGTTTGCATGTGCTTGTTGGTATTTTTATCTGCCTGTTGATATAATCTTATTGTTTATCCCATTCGGGACTGATGCCCAGAATTTACAAGAGACTATTAGGGTAGCCCTTGTACTCTGGAGACAGCAGGGCTCGGACTGGGCTGCCAGGGCTGCCAGGGCTGGACTGCTTCTGACCTTTAGCTGTGGAGTTTTTAGACTAGTCACTTAACCTTCTGGAACTTCAGTTTCATCATTTATAAATGTAGATGAGAACAGCTGCCCTCTAGATAAGTAGTAAGGACTGGGGGATGGCATAATGCAAAAGAGCCAAGCTGGAACAGAGTAGATATTCCACCAGTGGTAGCCTTCAAATATGTCAGAAAACAATAACCCAAGTAACCTTGTCTAATATCTACCATGGGATTTTAAATAGCCTGACTCTAAAATGCTTTTTTGGGTAGCACTATATATAATGACTACATGATGATAACCATCAGATTCTTAATAATACTAAAATAAGGACAATCCATATGTCGAGTTGCTCAAAGTGATAAAGTACTTCTATTTTTACCAGCAATTGTTATTATTAAGTCCATACCAAGACTGTTTTTGTAAGGAGTAAAATCACTCCTAGCATTACAGAACTGTAAGGAACCTGAAATATTAGTCACAATCACCCCCCCAACCCCAAATTTGGGGATGAAGAACTTGGAGCCCAAGAAAGTTATATGACTTGCCCAATGTCTTAATGTTCTTTAAAGCACAACCAGAACTAAAACCCAAGTCTCCAAGCTTCCATGCAAAGGTTTTTTTCTTTTATTTCTAAGAAATAAGTAAATAGATTATATTAAAATTTAAAACTAATAAATTCTATAAATGAATGATAATGCTGGAGGTAAACATAATGATCTTACCTGTAGGAACCATACATAACTTTCTGGCAGTCAATTAACAAAAATTTCTGTTCCAATTTTCCATGAAATTTTGCTCCTGTTTTGGAAAGATAATCTTGGCCTTTTACTGTCCGCACTCGAATATTCTAGAATTACATGTAAATATAAAGTAAAATTATAACTTGAAAAGAGATATTTTGAAAGTGAAATACATGTCAATGTATAATCTTAGTACCAAAAGAGTATATTGAAATAATGTTTTAAAACACATAACAGCAACAACAAAAAATGGCAAAAGCAAATTTTAAAACATCACCCAAAAAAGAAATACTCAGGAAAAAGTCACTTAAAATATGTACTTTGACATAACATAAATAGGAGCCATTATTTTATATTTTACACAGAATGACTTCATAAATCACCCGGGATCCCATGTAAGAGAACCTTTCAGGTTACAGGTAGCAATGATTCCACAATAACTACGATTAAAATCCATGTTCCTTTTAAAAGTCAAATGTAACTGAAAACACTATGTCTAACGATTGTGATAAGCAACATCTGCTGAGTGAAAGAATCACTTGAGTCAGTGGTTTCAGGGTTATGCATGGAGAAATTGAAGCACTTAAGACTGAGCAAAGTTAATTCAGAAGCTTAAGTGCCCCATCGTCAAGAAAAGCACCTTATAAAACCATCATGAAGACGTGTGTTTTCAGCCACATTCCAAAAAGTACAAGGGTACCCTTCTGTGAGCAAGCATTATACTACCTTAAATATACTAATGCATATTTGTATATGTTTTTATTTTTGGTGTAATACAGCTTACCTTGCCTTAAATTCAACTGAGATAAAAATTGGTACACAAAAGGGACGCCTGGGTGGCTCAGTGGTTGAGCATTTGCCTTTGGCTCAGGGTGTGATCCTGGTGTCCCGGGATTGAGTCCCACATCAGACTCCTTGTGGGAAGCCTGCTTCTCCCTCTGCCTATGTCTCTGCCTTTCTTTTTCTGTGTCTCTCATGAATAAATAAATAAAATCTTTAAAAAAAATGGTACACAAAATATTTGAAGAACAAACAAACAAACATGGAATTCTTACCCTGAGTCGTTGAACTTGACAGCCCTGTTTTTCAGTCATATTTAGGAAATGATTAAAGTTGGACTCATCAAGCAGAATGTATATAGATATTCCTCGAGTTGATGCCTCTACTATTTCTTTGAAAATGTCCACATCTGTAAATATATCCATCACTAAAGCAATGACCTATTAAAATGAGAATGTGAAACAATTTTAGATACCCAGTAGGGAAAGGTTTAGAAATTGTTTGTTTTCAATAATAACTGGATAAAAGAAAATAATCAAATACATAATATTTATAAATATATACACAATATGTTTGCAGTTTCCTAAAGATGCAAAGGTATACTGAAAATAAACAAGTGACTACATACACATTTGAAGAACTAAGTAATTTCATACTGACTTTAAGTCAAAGGGGATCTTCACTCTGCCTGTGTCTCTGCCTCTCTCTCTTTCTCTCTCTCTCTCGTGTCTTTCACAAATAAATAAATCTTTTTAAAAAATGGGGGATCTTCATTTCAGTAGGATGCTGAACAAAGGGCAAACCCAAATCACAGTCAAAAGGATGCAAGTAGGGTAGTAGTAGAAGACAGGAAGATTGAAGGTGGAAACCAGTGTTACAAATTTTTGTGGGAAACATTTCAGGGGAAAAATAAGCTCTCTGAAACTAGTTGTTAGTAATAAATGTCTTGCAGTACTGAGAATGAGAAAAAAAATCTTATAGAAATACAAATATAGCTAGGAAGCAGCCAAAGCTGAGAAAAGGTATATGGCTTGAAGACTAGAAAATTAAATACATGTGCCTAAAATGAGCTTAGCAGGCAAAAAGCAGAATAAACAAAAGAAAGAAAATGGACAAAAAGGCAGTAAAATTAAGAAGATGAACACAGAAATTTCCTGAAGAACAGATCCCTAAAATGGAGAGAGTCCAAGTTAACTGTTGGCAACAAAACCATTATTGACTCTGAGAAACAGTGGAGTAAAATAAAGCTTAAAGAAAGGGGAAATCATTTCACTGACCACCTACTATGTGCTAGACAAGAACAAAAAATTCCTGCCCTTGGTGAAGATTACATTTAGGTCAGGGAAGAAACCATAAATAGAGTAATTCAGTAATAAGCTATATTTTTTTAAAAAGAGTTATTTCAGAAAGAGAGATTGCATGTCGGTGTATGCATGAATAGGGCCAGGGGCAGGGGAAGAGGGATAAGCAGACTCCTGGCCAAGCATGGAGACTGACACAGGGCTTGATCTCATGACCCTGAGATCACGACTTGAGCCAAAATCAAGAGGTAGACGGGGCAAATGAGCCACACAGGTGCCCCTATACGATGAGAAGATTATTTGGAAAAAAAAAATAGAAAAGAATAAGGGGGATCATGAGCCCCAAGAAATTGAGAAGGTAGGGTTTGGGACTTTCTAGATAGATCTCTTTGATAAAGTGTCCTTTGAGCAAAGACATTAAAAGGAACTGAGTTAGTTATCAACATGGATATCCTGAGAAACTGTGTTCTAGGCAGGAGGTACTAGCAGTGCAAAGGCCGAACATCAGGAATTTGCCTGGTATATTTAAGAAACAGCAAGGAGACAGCAGAAATGAAATGAAATCACAATGCCTTGAAGGTATTATACAGCCTTCAGCCTTCCATCTGAGTAAGATTGTAAGCTATAAGCAGCTCTTCAGTTAAGGCAATATGCAATCTGATTTATGTTTGAAAAGGACTGCTCTGGCTACCGTATTGATTCTAAGGGTGGGAATCAGGGTGGAAACAGGCCAGTAAGAATCACTGGAGCAATTTAAGTGAGGGGTGATGGTGGCTAGGAGGAGGATGGTCCTGGTCCTAATCACCATCAATAATGAAGACAAATGGCCAAATGCCGGATATCTTTGAGCCAAAGGATTTCTGAATGGATTGAAAATAGGATGTTAGGGGATCCCTGGGTGGCTCAGCTGTTTAGCACCTGCCTTTGGCCCAGGGCGTGATCCTGGAGTCCTGGGATCCAGTCCTACATCAGGCTCCCTGCATAGAGCCTGCTTCTCCCTCTGCCTGTGTCTCTGCCCCCACCCCTGTCTCATGAATAAATAAATAAAATCTTAAAAGAAAAAAGAAAAAGAAAATAGGATGTTAGAAGAAAAGAGGGGAAATAGAAGGTGACTAAAATTTTTAGTCTCACCCACCTGAAGGACAAAGTTGTCACCTACTTTGGGGAACAAAAGATGGGGAAGAATGCAGCTACACTAAATTTTAGGTAGAAGATTAAAATGGCTAGTTAAGTTCGAGGGGCCAAGTGGAATGCTAGGTAGAGAAGTCTAGGCTAGAGATGTCAATTGGGTATCAGTTGTGCAGAGATAACAATTAAATCCAAGTAACCAAGGGAGGCTAGTTTAAGTAGAAAAGGAAACCAAGGATTCAGCCCTGGGACAAGAGAAAGTGACAACAAAGAACACTATAGTTTTGGTGGACTGGTAAGAGCAAAAGCCCTACTGTAAGGGATTCAAAAGGGAATGGGAAGACAGATACTGGAAAGCAGGTATATGCAACTCTTTGAGTAAGATGGCTATAATAAGCAGCAGAGAAATGAAGAGGTAGCTGTGGGTAAAGCTGGGTCAAGAGGAGTTTTACTTTTCTGTTTTAAGGTGAGAGAAATAACAGCATGTCTGTATGCTAATGGAATGAGTGCGAATGAATGATGTAAGAGATATGGGGAAGAAAAGAATTTCTGAAGCAATGTATTATTAGGCAATAAAAGAGAAAAGCTAGTGTAAAAAATAATTAGAGCACGAGAATAAAGACCAGTAAAAGATCATCTATAATATCAAGACAGAAGACCAAGGGTGCAGATGCTGGTGGAAAGGCAGGGGTGGTAGTGATGCTGTGCAACTTCTCTGGTGAATGCTTCAATTTTTTCCATGAACTGGGAAGCAAAACTTCAACTGAGAAGACCCTAGATTATGGAAGACATGTTAAAAGACAAAAGGGGTATTTAGTAATCATCTAGGATGGTAGGAAACAGAATAAACTATAGAAATACAGTATAATTACAGGGCAGTATTAAGGATTCACTAAATTACAAACTTAAAATGAGAACAGAAGGGATGCCTGGGTGGCTCATTGATTGAGCATCTGCCTTTGGCTTAGGTTGTGATCCCAGGATCCTGGGATCAAGTACCATATCAGGCTCCCCAAGGGGAGACTGCTTCTTCTTCTTCTGCCTATGTCTCTGCCTCTCTCTCTCTTTCTCTGTGTCTCTCATGAATAAATAAAATCTTTAGAAAGATAAAAAAATGAAATGAGAACAGTCAATGTGGTTGTGAATTATTCTTCAACTTTATTCAGCTGCAGGGATGTCGTCATGGAGCAGGCAGAGAGTTTTGACCTAATCATGGATGTAGTTATAGCCATGAGAGTACAATGGAGTGAGAGAAGGAAGGGGAACTGAGGACATAGGTAATGGGAAGAGCTAAAGTGACTGGTCATAGGATATAAAATAAACATCATGGGTATGAGATGCAGTGAAATGGGAATGGAATCAATGAATTTGTAAAGTCTTGAGGGGGTTAAAAAACAAATATTAATAAATTATTATTTTTTATGTTGACAGTAATATAATAGTAATAAAAGTCCTATCTTTTAAATATACATATTAACATATTAATATAGCTAAAGATGAAATGATACACTGCCTTGTATTTTTTTCACACTGTAGTTGAAACAAAATTGGCAATGAATTGATAATCGTTGAAACTGGCTGATGGTACAAGAGGGTTCTATATACTTACTCTCTAATTTGGAAACTTCCACAGCACAAAGTTTAAAAAATAAATATACACAGGAATATTAGATGTTAGCAGGTACCAAAGGGAGTAAGTCATAAATATATAAAGAAGTGATAGTCAGATGGGGGATACCTGAATTAGGTTCTATAGGGCTTGCAATTATAGGTTATGTTGTTATCAAGGTTATGACTGGGAGTCAACAGCTGAGGTATATGTAGGACAAGATCATGGGAAGCAAGGAATTGGATTTTAGAAGCATCTCTTAACATACAGCTAAGAAAGGATTAGCATTGCAAAGAGTGATAGAGACCAAGGAACAAAAATTGTCAGGAAATGAGCGAGGATGGAATAGACACCTGGCAACAATACCTAGGAAAATGTAATGGACATATCATGAATATGTTAAAAGATGAAGAAAGTCATGGATGATATGTAAACTTGTTTCTATTTACTCTAATGAGATGTTATAACAAAATACTGGACCATATCCAAATTATACAAGTTGATGACATTCTTCAACTTACCTATGAAACATACTTCAATCAGCTATTTTCTGGGAAGAACAATTTCAATCATTCTAGTAGCCTCACATGACCCTTTTGTTATTTATGAATGGTATGAGGTGTCAGAAGAAGGAAAAAAAAGTGATAATAACCTCATTCATGTCTTGTGCATATTCTTTATAAAACTAAATTTGTGAAAAAATCTTCATATCACATCAAATTTATTAATTAATGCATTCCGTCTGCAATAATAAGTGGTATGTTGATGTAGAATACTCATGTAAGGAAAAGAAAATGTCCATATTATAAACTTATTTTACATAATAACTTCTAAAAATATAAAAAAATAATAAAAATAAAAAAAATAAAAATATATGTCTGGAGCAGTCTAACACTGCTTTTTTTTAACTAGGGAGGAATTTTTTTTAAAAATAAGGAAACAAAAAAAAATAAAATAAAAATATAAATAAGGAAACATTATTATACAACATGGTATTGTTTAAGAAATTAATCAGCAATATCTAAATAATTTATCTTTTATTTGCTAGAGTCTCATGTAATAAATTAATTAAGACTTTGGAAATAAACAAAGTCAATATACAAATATTACCAGGATAAATAAAGGTTTCTGTTTGCAAAAAGGTAATTGAAGTCAGTCAGCCAATGGATGATTCTAGCATACTAAATGTAGAACAAATTACAGTCTCTCTTGCATGACAGATAATACACTGGATCAGGATCCAAGAGACTAGATTACACATCTTTGACAAGCCTATCTGATGTCAACTGAGCCAGGTAGCTTATCAGAACTTCTGATTTCCCGCATCCTCATGAGATGGAAAATTACATAAAGTCTACAGAAAATTTCAGCTGTGCCAAGAAAAGCAAAATACAATGTAGCT